ATCATATTCAACCGATTGTACAGTTGTGCACTATAATCTAGAATAATATGACTGCAATATGTTTCACATGATAATATTCAATAGGTTTAAGTGGTATTTTCTCGTTGCACATAAGCTTTTGCTTATCCGATTTCCAATCTCACTAATAGGCTAAGTGGTCTTTTCATCTTTCTCTCTCCTCTGTGGGACCTTCTGTAAAGTATTTATTATCCAAGAGCTATCTTAGACTGTGTCTAACGCTATCAAATTCCTTTTATAGATGATATATTCAAAATTTGATACGGGCAACTATTTGGTCGTCCCGGGTTCTCCAACTGAAGCATGGGAGGCAGATAGTTTAATGAGCTTTAATCAAGAGCAGGTCTATGCCAAGATGGGTTTTGCTGCTGATGATTTTGTTATTGCTGTTGTGGGAAGTCAATTTATGTACAAAGGTTTATGGCTGGAACAGGCCCTTATATTACAGGCTTTAAAGCCACTTCTCACAGAATTTCTTCCTGACGATAGATCCGATTCTGGTTTCAAACTCATTATTTTAACTGGTGACTCTGAGGGTAATTACACCAAGGCTGTGGAGGTATAAATCTGGATGCTAAATCTTTGAATTTTCTTAGCACTCCTTTGTTGATATTAAACTGATCATGTTGATTGTTGAATATTCACTGAAGGCCATTTCTACGAGTCTGGATTATCCAAAGGGTATTGTGAAGCATGTTGATCGTGATGCAAGTGCAGATGATGTTCTCGGGATCGCCAACCTTGTCATTTATGGATCATTCCTTGAAGAACAATCATTTCCAGATATCTTAATCAAATCCATGTGCTATGAGAAGCTCATAATTGCCCCTAATCTCTCCATGATACAGAAATATGTATGTGGCCTTTCTTCAAACTTTTTTTTTTTTTCGTGTCCAAGTTTTTATCCTTTTTCACTGAATGCCCATCTGGCATTTCACTAACATTAAGACTGTAGAGAAGTATAAATGGTCTTGTGCATGAGCCTAAAAATCGAAACTGGGCCTTGTAGAAGAAAAAAGCAACTAATTTTGCCTGATTTAGTTGCTGAATACTCCTCTTGTATACATACCGCATGCTATGGTTCCACGTCCCATTTTTTTTTTTGCTAGTTGTTTGCTCTAAGTTTTATTTCAGGAGATCAACTTCTGACTACATTTTCAATAACATTTAGGTTGATGACAGGGTGAATGGCTATCTTTTCCCAAAAGAGGATATTAAGGTCTTAACTGCCATTGTATCGCAAGTTGTTTCAAGGGGAAGATTGTCACCTCTAGCTCACAACGTTGCTTCAATTGGGAAAGAAACTGCAAAAAACCTCAAGTCAATGGAAGCTGTTGAAGGTTATGCATCACTATTGGAAAATATCCTTAAATTACCATCAGAAGTTGCTGTCCCAAAGTCTGCTTCTGAAATTCCTTCCAAATACAAAAATGAATGGCGGTGGAACATCTTAAAAATGATTCCTGATGCAAAATATAGAAGCAGAAATGTTAGTGTCTACTTGGACAAAATTGAAGAGTTGAGTCGTAATAAAACAGAGCCCGCCATTTCTACATCTGCTAAGGACGAGGATTTTTTATATAGCATTTGGGAAGAACAGAAACAATTTGATATTGCTAATGCTAGAAAGAGAAGAGAAGATGCAGAGGTGAGAAACCTTCATACAGATCAGTGTTCGTTCTTTCTATTTGGCAAATTGAATGAATTTTCCTTTTGTTTCCTCTAGTAAAAATATGAAATTTTCTCTGGTTTCATTATGCAGCTTAAAGATAGATCTGATCAGCCTCGAGGAACGTGGGAGGATGTATATCGAAGTTCCAGAAGGGCTGATCATATGAAGAACGATTTGCATGAAAGAGATGACGGGGAGCTTGAAAGGACTGGTCAACCATTGTGTATATATGAACCATACTTTGGGGAGGGAACCTGGCCTTTTTTGCATCATAAACCACTTTATCGAGGAATCGGTCTGGTAAGTTTTTCATCGAAAAAACTTGCATGGTTTCCTGTATTTGATGCTATAGAATAATTTGCACTTTCAACTTCTGGTTTCGTTCTCTTCCGATTTTCTCTTATATCCTTTCCAATGGCTTAAAAACCTTGCCTCATCAGTAGCTAGCTAGTTGTTTTATCATCTAATGTTATTTGTAGGCTTCTAGAGGGCGTAGACGCGGAACAGATGATGTGGATGCATCCTCTCGTCTTTCTCTTCTCAGCAATCCTTATTACCGAGATGCACTTGGGGAATTTGGAGCCTTCTTTGCAATTGCTAATCGAGTTGATCGTGTCCACAAAAACGCCTGGATAGGGTTCCAGTCTTGGAGAGCAACAGCTAGAAAGGTACTTATTTCCGAACCTCTTTATATTATAGAGATTTCTTCATCGTTTATAGACAGCAAAACGCAAGGTTGATATTTTTTGTTTAATTTTATCAGAAAGTATTGTCCAAGACTGCGGAGAAAGCTTTGCTTAAAGCTATTGAAACAGGAGAACACGGGGACACTTTCTACTTTTGGGTCCGGTTGGATTCTGATCCTAGAAACCCCATGAACAAAGATTTTTGGTCATTTTGTGATGCTGTAAATGCTGGTAATTGCAGGTATGACCTCAAGCTCCCCAAACTGTTGGTTTCTGTGCGATTTTTAATGCCTTTAGTTGACACCAAAATTGTGCTTGTAGGTCTGCATTCTCAGATGCGTTTAAAAAAATGTACGGAATTAAGCAAGATTGGGATTCCCTTCCACCCATGCCTATGGATGGAGATACATGGTCTGTAATGCACAGCTGGTCCCTACCAACTAGGTCATTTCTAGAATATGTCATGTTTGCAAGGTATTTGACAATTGAAATTTATGCTTAATATGATGCATGTCTTACATTCTTGTTCATTTGATTTACCTTATCTAAATTATTTTCCTGTTATTCATCATATTCTATATGTTGCAGAATGTTTGTTGACGCATTGGATGCTCAAATGTACGAAGAACACCACCGAAGTGGGCACTGTTATTTGAGCTTAACCAAAGTAAGGCTTCAGTCTTTTTTCCTTATTTTTCGTTATTGTTGGCCCTTATCTGATCTATTTTTTTTGTTGTAAATTGAAGTTGGGTATTCCCTATCTGAGCTTAATCATCTGAGACTATATGTTATACTAGTATGATCCACCATGTTTCTTGGTAACTTCAGTTTCATGCTTTCTCTTGGTAACTTTAGTTTCATGATTTCTTCTACAATTTCAACTTTTGAACTATGAAAAATACAACCAAGTCATCAGCCAACTTGTCTGTCCCCTTGTTTCAAGCTTTATAAGTAGTTTTTCATTTCCAAAGTACGAAACTTGTATTCTTGTAAGTGTATATACTTTCGGCTCAATTGATGTGAAAGTAGTTGTGCCATCTTGATTATCTTTCTTATAATGCCACAAAAAACAATGCTGCAGGACAAGCATTGTTACTCTCGGGTACTTGAGCTGCTCATAAACGTTTGGGCATACCATAGTGCGAGGCACATGGTTTATATCGATCCTGAAACTGGCAAGATGCAAGAACAGCATGGATTGCAGAATAGGAGAGGTCACATGTGGTTAAAATTCTTCTCTTTACGCACTCTTAAAAGCATGGATGAGGAGTTGGCCGAGGAAGCAGACTCTGAGCAAACGAAAAGGCATTGGTTATGGCCTAAAACTGGTGAGATCTTCTGGCAAGGTGTGTATGAGAAGGAGAGAGAGGAAAAGAAGAAGGCGAGAGCGGAGAAAAAGAGAAAAAGCAAGGAGAAAGTTGATAGGATAAAAAATCGAAACTCGAAACATATGAAACCCATAGACAAGTATGTAAAACCCCCACCAGAGGAAATGTCAAAGATTAGTACTACAACTAACAGTAGTACTACAGATGTGGCAAGGAGATAGTATTTGGTTTTCCTTTCCAGTTTCCTGCATTGGGTTGCTGCTAAAAATAGGTTATAGTTAATGATTCTTTTTGTATCAAGAGTTTTAGTTCATTCTCCTATTTGTAAATTTTTTCCAGAAAAGGATGCTCGAGTTTGTAAATGGAGAATAGGGGAGGGAGGGGGAAGAGACAATGCATCCTTTTACGGTATTGATGTTGATAATATTCATTATATTTAGATGATGCCCATTCATCCCCGTTTATCTGTGTGAATCAGTCTGTGACTAATATTCTTTCGTGCCTAATTCTCATCAAAACAATTGAAGTGTTAAAATGATTTCGATTCAATATCATACATCAGTAATGGTCCAAATTGCTACATTAGGTATTCAAGAATTTTTTTAATGGCAAGTTAAGGTCTCTCTAGGTTCCATCCAGGTTCTTGCAAGAGGAGCTATCAATCACTTGTCTCAACTCTCAAAGGAGTTTACTTCAGCCTCTACTATTCTAGTTCGAAGGAGGCTGCTAGTCTGCTACCACATGTTCCGTTCAAGTTTCATCCTGCAAACACCAGCTAGTGTGACATGTTCTGAGGTGTTCAAACAAGATTCTCCGAGAAGCTTAATTTTGATGTTATTGCCCTTATGGGTTGAACTTTCCTAGACTTTTTGAGAAAACCATTGAATTAGTGCTACAATGTTATCTTATTGCACTATATTCTATGCTCGTGCCAAGGTCGATCAGTGTATTGGATAAATGGTCCAACATGAGAGCCAACGCCCGACTACGGTCTTCCCTCCACATCTAGTACAGATTTATTGGCAGACTCAAGTCGAGGTCTTGTTATGCATCTACTACTGCCTTTACGAAATTATCACATGCGGTCATACGGAGTACTACCCATATTACAAATTACTGCCACCTTGACTTTATAAAGCCAACCCATATAGCTCAACTGTGTAAAAAAAACTAACATTACTCGTATTAAGTGTGATATTGTTAGATTGGTTTTATGTATATTTCAACATACTAATGTTTCATCATTTTTACACAACATAATTAACACTCAAAATTAAGCCTGAAGACTGTAATAAGTAAAAATTAACTAAGCTGTTTTTATAAAATACAATATAGAGTAATAAAGAATAATAATTATCACCATGAAACTTGCATTTCACAAGAAACAACACAGTTTAAAGCTTGTGTTAAGCCTGTTTACTACACCAAAAATAAGTTTCCAGATTCACTATGAAGCAAAAACTCATTACATATTATACTCTAAGAAACCCGACGCCCCCGAACTGGATACGATACACCTACTCTTCCTATGATCTCAGTCAAAATTTGCGTATTCTTCATCTCTCGGGCAAGTCCACTGGGCATACATATCAGTAGTCATCTAGAGTAGAAGTAAAACCTAGAATAGAAGATGTATTTCCAACAACAGCATCCCAAAAGCACTAAAATCTTGGCGCTGCATGAGAGAATAGATAAGCACATTAGATATGAAGATGAACAAATTTTCATTTGTAATTTCAGAAAACTGAGAACGAGAACAGCCTACCTCCTCCCATTGTAGCTTCGGGTAACCGCTCAATTGAATACTTGTGGCTGGTGATGTACATAATAGGCACACCAGGTATCTGATTACCCAATTATTTTCAGGGTTCCAAGCAACAAGACAATCAATAAACATGTTTTAAGCTTCAAAATTCATGATGACCACAACAATAAAAATTTTGATGCTCCTGTATAAAACAAGGGAATTACCTTTCTAATCCGGCGCTTCAAATCACGATCACAGGTAGCAACAATGTAGCATTTATGCTGTTTGCAACAAATAAAAAAGTAAATCATAATTATTAAGCCCAAATGAGTAGCACAAATGCACAGTGTAAAAAAAAGGACAGGAATGAAGCTTTTGAATATAGAGAATTCAAAATGGGCATGGTATATAAGTTCTGTCTGTCCCAAGATTTACACTTTGTTTGGATAACAAGATAGACAGAAAAGAGGAGAAGGGTAAGAGGAGATAAAAGAGGGGATCCAATTTTGGAGGGATGTTTATTAAAGAGGGAGGAAAAAGGGATTCCTTCCTCTCCTTTTCCTTCCTTCCCCTAACCCCTTATCAAAACAAGGGAACTTGTTACCCTCGTTTTCCCTCCATTTCCTTTTATTCAAACAAAGTGTTATTGTAGGGGTGAACTAAGCTTTGTATAAACTAAATTCCCAACAAGAAGACCACCAATTAGTAGAAATGTGTTCAAATATATACTTATAACAATGATAACAGAACTCATTTAATTGTTCAGAAATTCTATATACGTGACTGAGTAAATGCTTCATTTAAGTACAGTTATAATTTTCATCACAATGTAATGAATCTAATGATCACCAAGCACTTCTATTTCCTTTAGATGCAGTAAATTCTTAAAAAGTATCCTTGTAACATGTAGGAGAAAAAAACTAACAGGAAGGAGAGATGACATTAGCCTCAAGATATAATCTCATTCCAAATTTCATACAAAAAGTTATAGCTACTGTACGTAAATGAAACTCTTTGAAGGGGATTTCAGATCTTCGATGAATTTTTCAGTTCACAATTGCCACAATGATATCTTTCTTTTTGATACAGTACAGATTGAGGGCAGTTATTTCATCATACTGCAAACATACCTGAGTGACCCTGTCAACAATGCAGTCATCAGCATATGTTCCCTTGTGAATACATGGGAGTCTGTCAAACCGAGGATCCTTGGCAATCCTGCATGTAAAGATAGATATAAACTGGTGATGGCCTCACATCAACATGGAAACAACTTAAGTCCCAAGGACACAAATGAGTGAAATGACACAAAATGAATGACCAAATTGATATCAAAGATGAACTAAATTCAATTGCTAATATAGGGGGAAACGATAGATATATTTGTTTCATGACCAAAGTGCTAATCAAAGATATTCATGAGAAAACACAGCTAGGAGTAGTATATTTGTTTCCACGACAAAGGAATACCAAAAGCCGTATCCCAAGAAATTAATAGGTCTTTCACTTAGATAGTAAGATGAAAAACATGTAAAATGTACCTCAACGCTACACGATACTTTTGACCCAGCTTCTCGAGTTCAGCCATAACACAATCCGTAATGCAAGGCGTACCTTTGGTAAAAAGAAGGATTGAATTTCTTTAAAATATAATAGCATAAAAGAACTCATTGTTCAAAATATTCAAGGTAAAACAGAAAGTATATAACACACAATTCCCTAACTTTATAAAAAAAGATGACAGTAATCCGTAATCACTCACATTTAGCATATAAGCAGTCCATCATTGCTTTCTCCAAATCCAACTGCCCAAACATAAAACAACAAATCATCAGACAAAACTAACACAAATTTACAAAGCCTAGTTACTAACAAGCATATTTCTGCAATTAACCCAAGAACAGAGCAAAATTCCAGCTGAATAATATAGGTAAAACTAATAAAACCATGAATTGAGGTTCTCACTTTGTTCTGGATAGAAAAATTGATGAAATTGGTATCAACTATAACCCGATAAGGCGGTCCCAATGCAGTATTATACTTGAAAAATAGGGCAGATGATACATTAGGCCTGAAAAACAAAAACAACAAATTGAATCAAATTAACATCAAATTCGTTTACACCCAATAATTAAAACTGCTTAATACTAACTAAATTGAAGAAATTAGGAAGCTTACACATTTCTAGGAAGATTAGCGGATTCAAGGTCTTTCTTTTTGGGGTTTAATACTTCTTGCTTGTGCCTGAATTTGAATGAAACAATAGAAAATTAAAGAATTAGTACCTGTTGATTAATTAACAGAAAGAAATAGAAAGGAAGAGAGAGAATTAGTACTGTTTGAGGGTTTTGGAAGTGAGGAGCTTCTTCCTGACGGCAAATTTGGGGGCTTTTTTAGCTTTTCCCATGATTTCGCCGGCGATAAACCCAAAACCCTAGATAATGAAAGGGGGGACGAGAGAGAAAAGAAAGAGAAGTGGCGCGGTGGAATGTTATGGGGGGGGGGGTAAAAGTGCCGGAGGGCGGTGATGCTACGGCACCGCTTTTTTTTAAGACTTGTGCGAGTACTTTTTTGTACTCACTATAAAATGCATCAATGATCCATCCATACCCCGAGCTAGGTTTACTTGTGCGAATTGTTAATAATGCCTATGTATAACATGCCTTGTAACTAACGGTTTTTTTTTTTTTTTAATTGTGTGTGTTTGGGGTAAAAATACCCTAAACACGTGGCCCAATGGCCTAGTGACACGTGGCCTCCAGCCGTTGGTCAGCAGTGCTCCAATCCTCTGCTGACACGTGTCCTCTAAACCCTAAAAGGGGAACCATCCCTTCCCCACTATAAATAGTGGAAGGACCCTCATTAATGGGGGCGAAAAACATTGGTTGTTCACATTGAATACTCCTCAAAAAGAAAAACACTTACCCCGAGCAATATTAATTGCAGAATTCTCCCATTACGCGAGAAGTAACTTCCACATTACGTGCATTCTACCTCCCGTATCTTTACTAACTTGATCGTCGGAGGCGGAGCTCCTACCCCCAGGAGTCTTCGTGTTTTTGCAGGCACAGGCGTCGAAGGGCATTCTTGGAATTGTAACTCTCCCGCAGGACACATCAAAAAACCCCGAAACATTTGGCGCCGTCTGTGGGGAGAGTACTTCTAAGATGACTTCTGATACTGTGTCACCGAATCAGGGCAAACGGCCTGTGGTCGAGCCTGAGGTCCAGACGGACCATGAAAGTGGCGACGAAATTGAAACATATGTGGCCCCGGATGGGTCTCTCAGAACGAAGCACCCTCGTGCTAAAGATAGAAGAGAACGGGAAATCAGCCAAGCTGCTGGAATTGCCCAAACGGTGGAGGGCTCAGCCCCCGTCACAAGAAACGAACTCATGTCTTTCATGAATAGTTTCAAGGGTGAGATCAAGAGCCTCATCCGGTCAGCTACTCCAAAGAAGGGTCAGCCGGCCAAGAAGCCTTCTGGAAAGAAGGCGGTCAAAGAACGAGTTCCTACCCCTCACCCAAAGCCAAAGGAGGGGGAGGGCCTAAGGTTTGACCCGAGCAGACTCCGTTTTCCTCAAGGGGAGCTGCGAAAGGCCATCCGGCACGTACAGCCGGATGGCTCCAAGAAAACATTCTCAGACGCCCGCACATTTCTCCAAGAGAAGCGAGGTCAGGCGTCTGCGTCGGCCTCAACGTCGACCTTCCCGGACAGTTTCCCTGACGTCTCACACAGGCGTACGGGAACGAACCTTAGGAGTCAGACGGGCGAAGCTTCTGCCCGGTCTGGACCCAAAGTGATCCAGCCTGGCCTATTCGGCACACCGAATAGGTTGGGTGGATCCCCTTTCATGTCACCGGGTCTTTGCGGTGGGCAAGCGCAGCAGCCGTTCCAACCCACGGATTGGCAGCTGCGCCTGCTAAATTTGGGGGAGCAGCCAACGGCGTTCTCACCAGAGATAACCCAGGCGGCACAGCCGCCTAAGATCAAGAATGTTTTGGTGGGGGCCTATGATGGCACCACCAACCCAGAAGACCATCTAATGGCCTACTCTAACCTCATGTACCTCCAGGGGTTAGATGATGCCGTCTGGTGTCGATGCTTCCCGGCTACCCTCAAGGGCATAGCCCAGCGGTGGTTTGGTAACCTACCAGCCGGTTGCATCAACAGCTTTCGAACTTTGGCGTACTTGTTTACGTCAAATTTCTCAATGAATATTCCTGCCAAAAAGACTAGCCTCGACCTAGGGGCAATACAGCAGGGCGACCGGGAGGGCCTCCGGTCGTACGTCAGACGGTTCAATCTGATGAGAATTCAGATTCCAGGACTATCAGACGAAGTGGCCTATACAGACTTCTTTCGAGGTCTGAAGGATGGGTCGACCTTTAAGTTTGACCTCGTCCGGAAGAGGGTTGCTACCCTCCAAGAGGCGTTAATTGAAGCTGAAGCCTATATACAGGCGACGGAGCTTTGTGCTGTCAAGCAGCCGTCAGATTATAAAAAGTCTGACAAAAAAGAGAGCCGGCAACAGCATCAGCCGGCAAGAAAGGAAGAAAAGAGAAAAGGGGTCTGGGCAGCTGACCGATCAGGACAGCCGGCCCAGAAGATCAGGCGGAAGTCAGAACCGTATGTCCCCAAATACGAGTTCACAAAAGATTGCTCCACCATCCTCCTGGAAATCAAAGACCGGATGTCTCTCGACAAACCGGCTGAAATGAAAAGCCCCGTGAATAAACGGGACAAGAGCAAGTATTGCCAATACCACGAGGATGTTGGCCACGACACCAATGGCTGCTATAGCCTCAGGCGGCTATTGGACCGTCTGGCAGATGAGGGGGCCTTAAAATCCTATCTACCCAAGGCTAAGGGTAATACCCAGGCCAAGAAAGGGCAGGCGGCAAAAACCGGCCCAGTAAACTCCGAGACGGATGAAGAGACCATCTTCACCATAGCAGGCGGTGTTGCCGGAGGGGGTCCCACCATCCGGGGCACCAAAGACAACATCAGGAAGCTGGTCAACTCGGTGGATGAGGGCCAGGCGTCGAAAGACATCTTCCCTGAGGTCCTTATTTCTGAGAAGGACCGGGGCAAGGTCAGGCGGCCTCATGATGACCCCATCGTCATCGAATGCAAGGTTGCCAACCAGAAGGTTGGCCGGATCCTAATAGACACCGGGAGCTCGTCTGACCTAATCAGTTATCAGTGCTTGACCAAGCTCAAGTACACATCCGGTAACATGCACCAGGCTCCTCACCCACTAGTCGGTTTTGGGGGTGGAGTAGTGCATCCGGTCGGAAGCATAGATCTTCCGATCCGGCTGGGTGAAAAGGGGCAAGGACGCCACATGATAGTCAAGTTTTTAGTTGTGGAGGAGCTGTCCGCCTACAACATGATATTTGGCCGTCCTACCCTCAACGCATCTAAGGCTGTCATCATCCCGTCCCTCATGTTGGTCAAATTTCAAAAGGATGATGGTACAGTCGGTGCCCTAAGCGGGGACCAGAAGACGGCAAGAGAGTGCTATCTCTCTGACGTCAAGACAACTATGGGTGCAGCCGGCCAGGGCGAGCCCATAGATATTGATAGCTGCGACCCAGCAGTCCCGGCTCCAAGGGCAGCCGGTATGAAAAGAAAGGCGGACCAACTGGCACCCGTCAAAAAGGAGAAATAGCAATCACTAGCCGGGGAAAGGTCAGATGACCAACGACCTCAGCCGGCTGGTGACTGCCTTGATGTCATCCTAGATGACAGCCGTCCTGAAAGAACAGTCAAGGTCGGGACGGTAGCCTTCGAACGGTTGGGAGAAGGCTTGCTCCAGCTGCTGAAGGAATTCAAAGACATCTTTGCCTTTGAAGTGGAAGAGATGCCAGGCGTCAGCCCGGATCTTGCTGTCCACAAGCTAGCCGTAGATCCCAAAAAGCAGCCGGTTAGGCAGAAAAAGAGGGATCATGGTGGAGAAAGATCTCAAGCGGCAGCGGCTGAGGTCAAAAAGCTGTTGGATGCTGGGTTCATTAGGCAATGCTACTACCCGGATTGGGTGGCAAATGTCGTTCTAGTAAAGAAGCCGAACGGTACTTGGCGGATGTGTGTGGATTACACAGATCTGAACAAAGCATGCCCAAAAGATAGCTACCCGCTTCCAAAGATTGACAGCCTAGTCGACTCAACAGCCGGCCATGCGTTAATGAGCTTTATGGATGCTTATTCCGGCTTCCATCAAATACCTCTCTGGAAGAAAGATCAGGAGAAGACGGCTTTTGTCACTGATCAGGGGTTATTCTGCTATACGGTGATGCCGTTTGGGTTGAAGAATGCACCGGCTACATTCCAGCGCATGATAAACACCGTTTTTATCAACCAGATTGGCAGGAATGTAGAGGCGTATATCGATGACATGATAGTCAAATCCAAGCTACAGACGGATCACCTAGCAGACTTGAGAGAAACTTTCACCACACTCAGGCGGCACCGGGTCATGCTTAACCCAAAGAAATGCGTATTTGGTGTTGAGTCTGGGAAGTTTCTCGGATTCTTGATTGACCAAAGAGGCATCGAAGCTAATCCGGAAAAAATACAGGCGGTAATTGACATGAAGTCTCCCCGCACTGTAAAAGAAGTCCAGAAGTTGACCGGTTGTCTGGCGGCATTGGGGAGGTTCCTCAGCCGGTCAGGTGACAAGTGCCTCTATTTCTTTCAGGCAATCAGGAAGAGGTCAAGGTTTGAATGGGGTGAAGGAGCAGAGGCGGCATTCCAGAGGCTTAAGCAGCACTTGCATTCTTTGCCAAGGCTAGTGAGCCCCCTACCCCGGGAGGTTCTGTACATGTACCTAGCCGTCTCTGATCATGCCCTTAGTGCCGTTCTCCTCGCTGAGAGAGACGGCATTCAGCTGCCGGTGTACTTCATCAGCCATGTCTTAAAAAATGCTGAGCTCCGGTACCCCATGATCGAAAAATTTGGGTTGGCCTTATTCGTAGCAGTCAAGCGGTTGAAGCCTTATTTTTTGGCACATCCGGTTGTGGTATACACAGATCAGCCGCTCAAACGTACGATGACTGCTATAGAGTCATCCGGTAGAATGATCAAGTGGGCTGTTGAAATACAAGGCCTTGAGATAACTTTTGAACCCAGGCGGGCAGTGAAAGGTCAGGCGTTTGCCGACTTTCTTGTCGAGATGACTAGGCCGGTGCACCCGGAAAACCCTGATCAGGTCTGGAAGTTATTTGTAGACGGCAGCTCTACGGTGAACGGCTGTGGTGCAGGTGTTATCTGTCATTCCCCGGAAGGGGATAAGTTTGAATATGCACTACGGTTTAAGTTCCAAGCCTCCAACAATGAGGCAGAGTATGAAGCCCTGCTAGCCGGATTGCGCATGTGTAAGGCAGCCGGTGCAAGAAAGGTCGACGCCTGCTCAGATTCACAGCTGATCGTTAGCCAATACCTCGGTGACTACGAAGCCACCCATCCGGCTATGATCAAATATTTGCAGGCGGTCAAAGAGGAGGCTGGGTCCTTCGATGAATTTCATCTGCGACAGGTGCCCCGGTCTGAAAACAATCAGGCGGATGCCCTCTCAAAGTTGGCATCATCAGCCTCCGGTGATGCTCCTAGGACGGTCTTTT